TTTTTATTTTATAAATGGGGTTCATTTGACGAAAACGTCCTATTGCTAAAGATGTTTGAAAACTACTAAACTGGACCACTGAAGAAAGGCTGTTGTAGGATTCTGAGAGTCAAGAGCGTTCACAGGGGGATGGAAAGCAGAAGGTGAGTTCCACCTTGATCTTGTTAATGAACCCGTAAAGGAGTTTTTGTTCCTAGGCTCAGTTGCTCAGTACACAGAAAGCCAATTACTGAGACAATGAGGATTGTGAAGGAAGAAAGGAAATTTGCTGCAGAGTATGTCAACCGGGAGGTGAGAGGACTGCGTCAAATTCGCCTCCCCAACTGACGGGGTCAGGGTTTTTTCTAAAGATGAAATGAATCATGCATGAAATGAGTGAGCATCATTACATGTTTGGAGTGGAATACAGAGCATGCAAGAGCAGCAAGAAATCATACTGGCACATATACCACGTGATCAATAAATGGCAGATAAGCCCCTCCCAGGGCAGAGATTTTAGGGTTTAATGAGCTAGGGGGTAATATTGGTCATCTTTTCAGTCTTGTATATGCGTGGGTTGTGGGGAGTAGCTTGCTCAGCGGGTCCTTGAGCAAGATTTTCAGTGGAATGTTGCTTATCTTGACTTCTCTGAGCAATCAGGTGGTGTTAAGTAGTCCTTGTAGTTATCTCATGGCTGCAAGGATGTTCTGCCATTTCTGGAAAAAACAATTCAAAAAGGAATGGATCAGTGAAACAGAAAGTTATAAAGTTCTGGTCAGCAAATCTTACTGGCCTGGAACTTAAAACATTAAGAGAACTGCAAAAAAGCATTTTTGTTCATGGAGCCGGTTTCAATCTGGCCAAGATGAAATGAATGGGACTTGGACCAGAGTAGATCAAGGGAAAGGAGTGGGTCAAAGGCAGTGCCAAAGTTAGCAGGTTTGGGGTGTTAACTGGGAGAATAGTAGTCCGCTAACAAAAATAAGGAAGATGGGGCAGGTAGACGGAAGTCTAAATAGTCTATTTAGACGAAGTCTAAATCTCTTTATCTTACAAATAGGTAAGCTGGCTCAAAAGTTTTTTCCAGTCTTTTTTGGGGAGGGGTGCATAGGATAAATATTTTGAAAAACCACATTAGATTGATATTCAAGAATAATTATTTTTAACCACATTAATCTATATACCTTCATGCTTTTAAAAAAATGATTATGATCACAAGATCTGAATCAAAACCTAAATTATTTGTTAATTTTAAAATTTTTCTTCACATCCCATTATTTTATGGTGAATGATAAAAACTGTCTTCTGCACATTATAAATATCTCCTGTGATAGTGTTCCTCAAGAAGACAGGACCATTCATGTAAATGTAAAGGTAAAGTGTTTTAAATATAATGTTATGTATAGTATCAGTTAATGATAATTTCTGAACACCGAGTCCAAACAACTTCCATTTTTACTGTCTGTGGATTTTGTAATTTTCCCAAGAGATGGAGGAAGGACAGACAGTGGAGGTGGCTTTCCATAATATGTCTAAGTGCACTTGGCTTGGAGATGGTAGAGATTAGACAAGTTATAGTAACAGCTAAAATTTACCAAACACTTACTATGTACCCAGCACAGTTCTGAGAGCTTTACCTGGGCTATTTCATTTAACTTGCACAACAACCCAATGAAGCTGGTGCTATTATTATCATTCTTCTTTTTCGGGTGGGGAAATGAGGCCAGAAAGTTTAAGTTATTTTCCCACGGTCTCATAGTGAGCGGTGGTAAAGCTATGATTTGAACCCATTTAGTCTGACCATGGAAGCCACACTCAAGGCAGGATTTCAGCAGGTAAAAGGCTGAGTGAATGCTTGCCAGTGGTATATCCACCACAAATATAACAAGGAAGTAAGTTTCTCGAATGCTTCCATTACAATCCTAAATACAAAGAACTGAGAAAGTATTCTATGAGACATAGATATAAAATACCACTGATCCCCAGCATAAAGAAATTATGCCCAGAGAGACAGAAATGGTAATCATTGTTATGTGAAATTTTTTGTGCCTCTGATAGTTTTTGTACACAGAAAATATTCTTTTCATGTTATTTTATTTATTTATTTATTTATTTGGAGACAGAGTCTTGCTCTGTTGCCTAGCTAGAGTGCAATAGCATCATCATAGCTCACTGCAATTCCTGGACTCAAGCGACCCTCCTGCCTCAGCCTCCCGGGTAGCTGGGACTACATACACTTGCCACCACGCCTGGCTAAATTTTTCTATTTTTAGTAGAGATGGGGTCACACTCTTGCCCAGGCTGATCTCAAACTCCTGAGCTCAAACAATCTTCCTGCCTAGGCCTCCCAGAGTTCTAGGATTACAGGCATGAGCCACTGTGCCCGGCCTTGATGTTATTTTTAGAGTATTTGATTTATTAAAGTTACAAGTTTAATAGCATAATTTTTCCTTAGTTTTTAAAGTTTGGTTTACTGTGTGGAAAAAGAGCTTTTCCTATGTTCTCACTCCATGATCAACATAGAAGACTTCTGTGACCAAATGTATGTGGTCACGAACAATCAAGTGAATTCTGCAGCAGACACCAGCTGAGTATCCTCCAACCCAGTTCAATTCTGACACTCTCAGGAGATAATAGCATCAGGTCCTGCAGGTTCAGGTTCAGTCCCACGAGATCGCCCTTCACTTCTGCTGCCAATTGAAATCGCTCCAGGTTGTTTCACCTGTGCTTGTGATTGACCAGCTATAAATCGGGGATCCCACGACCCCCTCCTTGGGTTTGATTAATTTGCTTTAGCAAATCACAGAAATCAGAGAAACACTTACATACACTTACCGGTTTATCGTAAAAGACATTACAAAGGATGCAGATGGAGAGATGCATATGTTGAGGGATGGGAAGGGGCCTGGAGTTTGCAAGCCTTCCGCTGGCGCACCACCCTCCAAGAACCTGCACATATTCAGATATCTGGAAGCTCTCTGAACTCTGTCCTTTTTGCATTTTTATGGAGTCTTCATTACACAGGCATGATTGATTAAACCACTGGCCATTGGTGATCGAGCAACTCAATCTTTCAGCCCCATGTAGGATTTTAGGAGTTGTATGCCAAATATATATTTTATAATATCACACTAATCTCATTTTCTAACTCCAGCAAATTTTAACAAGCAAAGAGCCATTTGATTAATGTTTGATCCCATTAACAAACATACTCACCTCTAAACATTATAAACTTCATTCATGAATTTAATATATTTGTTTCCTTTGTTAAGCTCTTTGTCTGATTAACAAGTAATTCGACATCTAATTAAATTTATAAATGTAGTAAATCTGCTCCAATACTGTTTATTAACTTAGCAAGACTTTATCTTAAGATCATTAGCATATAGGTAACTATTAAATTACACATTTTAAACTTAAAAGTTCAAGGCAAATGGTTACTCCAGTAGGCCAAGTTCTGTTTAACATTATATGCACACAGAGTTCCAAATATGCCCAGCTTCTTTAAAACAAAGTACTAATATTATGGGCTTGACTCAGACATTTCATACTTAGTCCAGTCTTTCCAGGATTAAAATGCGTACCTACTAAGAATTTTGATATTTCTTCTTAAAAGCAACTTTTATGGTAACCTTATCAGTAGGCAGGGTTTCTTAACCACCACTAGAATTCCAGTTTTTACCCAATCTCACTGATGGTGAAACAGAAATACCTCGAGCTAAAAAAGACAATGTCACTTGAGTCAGTCCCCTGGATTTGGATTGAAAGTTATTATTCTTAAACTACAAATACAACCCAGCTGCTGAATTGGATTAAAATAATTTCTTATTGCTTCATTTTATTCTGAATTCTTTTCATAATCTACCTTTCTGTTAGGGCCATAATTTTAATAGATATTTAAATGACTTCCTTTAGACTCTCCAAGGTTGTTCGTTGCTCTGTCTACAATTGTAAAATCATGCACTTGACAATAAATTCAGAAAGATTTTAATTTTGCAGAATCTCTGAGGACCTTAGATACATGCTACATTTTGTTTCTCAGTGAATGCTTTTCTTTGTGGAGCACAGGGACAAGAATTTAGAAAATACATTTTAATTTGATTTTCAAAAGTAATCAAGGTTACATTCACTTGTGCGTTAAGACTTGGGTGCAATTTTAGGAAATTAAACACCAGTGTTCAGGATTCAGCGGTACAAGTTTGGGAACCAAGATGTTAAGATACAGCATTGCATATTTATAGGTTTCATTACGGAGTCAACATAGATGTGGAGTACAGACATGTACATTTTCAGGTAGGCCTGGAATGGTTCCTGAATGATAATCGGCAGCAAACTGTTTCTAATGGGAAAATTCATGCTTGAAAAGTGAAATATTAGGCTACGTTTATTAATTCTGTGTCATTTAGTAACCCACTAGCAGTTTAAGTGATTATTGCGATTTTCCATGTAAACAGGTGGGTCAGAGCCAGTCCAAGGTGACATTTGGGGAATGCTTTACTGATTCAGGTTCCTTGGCAGATCTCATAGTTTCCCCCCCAAGTGTTTTATTATGAGAAATTTTAAACATACAGAAAAGCTGAAAGAATTTTGCAGTAAACACCCATATGGCCAACCCCTGGATTCCACTATTAACATTCTGCCCTCTTGTTTATCACGTTATTTATCGATTCCTCTCCCTATCAGCAGTCCTCTCCTTAAGCAAAGGGACCGGGTTAGGAAGCTCAAGGTGGCTTTCAAGTGGTGATTCCCAAGGGTGCCGCTCGCACACCTTCATCCTCAGCGTCCGGGCAAATGTGGTTATTCCCACTCTATCGCGATTTCAGGCACGAAGGCCACCGGCTCCGGCTCCAGGGCGCCGCGCGCCCCCAGGCGGCCTCACCCACTGTCCAGCAGGGCCCGCCGAGGGCCGCCTCACGGCCGCGGGGCGGGGACCACACCTGGGCTGGGCGGCACGGGGACAGCGGAAGCAGCAGGCTGGGCGGCCACACGCGGGCGGCAGGCGCTGGGCGCGGGCGCGGGGCCGCTACGTGCGCGGGGAGCGCGGGGTTGCGCTCGGGTGCGCTCCTGGGCGCTCGCCGCCGCCGCCGCCGCGCCTTGAGTCAGCAAACTCGGCAGCCCGCCGGCCCTGGTCTGCTTGCCCAGTCCTGCCCCGCGGGGAGGAGCTGCCCGTAAGTGACAGAGGACCTGCCGGCAGGCCTCCCTGCACCGCCCGGGTGGGGATCGCGGCCGGGGGACGAGCCGGCCGCCCCTTCCTTTCCAGAGGTGCGGGGGCCCCTTCCCGCGGCGCCCAGGTGCCTGCTCCCCTGCGGCTCGGCACAGGTTTGAGGCCCCGGGGATTGGCGCTGAGGAGCTGCCGTTTTTCCAGCCGAGGTGTGCAGGGAGGAGGAAATGGTGGGCTTGTTTGCTGGATGGATGATGAGGGGAGATGGCACGTGTCGATCCAGGGGTTCCTGGCTAAAAACACCTCGGGGAGAGGGTGGGGCAGACTGAAATTCTGGATTCCAGAAGTGGCGCTGTGGCATCTTACACCAGGCCAGGTTTGGGTGGGTATTTTATTATTATTATTATAATTATTCACAAAAGGGTAGCTTTGAGAAATTGGGAGGGGTAGGCAGGGTTTTTCGTGGGATTATGGGATTGAGGGAAAAGGCCTGAGGCAAAATTCACATTAACAGATTATCTGGTTTGGTGACACAAAAAGCAACAGCCTGTTTTTCAGTTATGGATGCATCGTATTTTTCTAAAATTACACTGATTATTGAGGGGGATGGTCACGGAACAAAGAGCAACATGTCCTGTTTGTTTGTTTCTGCAAGACACGTTTACACTTAAGAATAAAGGATTTAGAAATTTAGAGCAGTAAGGAGGCTTTGCACATGATCACCATCAAACCTTTCATTTTACGGACAGGGAGGCTAAGGCCCGGGGAGGGGAGCGTGGAGACCAGGGTCATTCAGCCAGATGGCAGGAGAAACAGGCCTAGAACCTGCCTCCAGAGTTCTGTGGATTTGTTGGGTGGGGCCCTGTGACCTGGGTTTGGACTGCGTGAACTCCCCCTGCTCTCCTGGGAGTATGCTGGACCAGAGGGGCTGAGGTGGTGGCCAGTGAGAACAGGGGACCACCCCTAGACTACTGACCACCTCTAATGGGACTCCTCAGTAAGAGAGTGGAGGCGAGGGACTCCCGCTGCGGTTCTGCTGTCACTTCCAGTGATGTCTGTTCCTAAGGCAGGTATGTAGCTGGACCTTTATTTATTTATTTTTTTTAAAGGAATGGAAGACTTGAGATTGGCTGATAGATCTGCTTTTATCATTTTATTTTATTTTTTATTTATTTTTTGAGACATGGTCTCGCTCTGTTGCAGCTGGAGTGTGGTGGCAAGATCATAGCTCACTGCA